ATGAGGTCCCAATAGTTCATTTTTGCTTTTGTTTCCCTTGCCTCTAGAGACGTGTTGAGTAAGACGTTGCCTGTAGCCAAGATCAAGGAGGTTTTTGGCTGCTTTCTCCTCGAGGATTTTGATGGCTTCCTGTCTTAGGTTTTGGTCTTTCATCCATTTTGAGGTTATATTTGTGTTTGGTGTAAGAAAGTGGTCCAGGCTCATTTTTCTGCAGGTCGCTGTCCAGTTTTCCGAGCACCACTCGCTGAAGAGACAGCCGGTCTTTATTCCATTGGATATTCTTTCCTGCTTTGTCAAAGATTAGCTGGCCATACGCTTGTGGGTCCATTTCCGGGTTCTCTATTCTGTTCCATTGATCTGAGTGTCTGTTCTTGTGCCAGTACCGTACCGTCTTGATGATGACAGCTTTGTAATACAGCTTGAAGTCCGGGATTGTGATGCCTCCTTCTTTGGTTTTCTTTGTCAAGATTGCTTTGGCTATCCGAGGTCTTTTCTGGTTCCATACAAATTTTAGGATTATTTGTTCTAGCTCTGTGAAGAATGCTGGTATTACTTTGATAGGGATTGCATTGCATATATAGATTCCTTTGGGTGGAATTGACATTTTAACAATATTTGTTCTTCCTCTCCAGGAGCATGGAATATTTTTCCTTTTTTTGTGTGTCTTCTTCAATTTCTTTCATAAGCTTTCTATAGTTTTCAGTGTATAGATTTTTCATCTCTTTGGTTAGATTTATTCCTAGGTATTTTATGGGTTTTGGTGCAATTTTAAATGGGATCGATTCCTTGATTTCTCTTTCTGTTGCTTCATTGTTGGTGTATAGGAATGCAACCGATTTCTGTGCATTGATTTTATATCCTTCAACTTTGCTGAATTCATGAATCAGTTCTAGCAGTTTTTTGGTGGAATCTTTTGGGTTTTCCATATAGAGTATCATGTCATCTGTGTAGAGTGAAAGTTTGACTTCCTCCTGGCCGATTTGGATGCCTTTTATTTCTTTGTGTTGTCCGACTGCTGAGGTTAAGATTTCCAATACTGTGTTGAATAACAGTGGCGAGGGTGGACATCCCTGTCTTGTTTCTGACCTTAGGGGGAAAGCTCTCAGTTTTTCCCCATTGAGGATGATATTAGCATTGGGTCTAGAAGGTCCCATTCTTGAATCAAAGAGTGTGACACAGAGGAGGCTCTGAATAATCATTAGTTAGAAGGACAGATGCATGCTTGAACGAAAGCACCGATAGCATTCTCTTTGAGACCCTTTTCCCTGCATGTTCCTGTTTCTTTCAAGTTCCAGCAACTGTGCACTCCAAACCCAGAGCTGGCCTCACACTTCCCAGATGTCTGAGCTCAGTTTGTCCAGGGCAGACCCTAGGGCAGGGGTGCAGAAGCAGGCAGCTTACTCAGGAAGCAACCCCAGGAATGCCAGTCTGGGAGTCAGGAGTGACCAGGAAGGGAATGCAGAGCAGGTCAACCTAAGAGGCCCCTCCCAGGACCAGAGGGTTCCAGAGGTCTCTCACCCCGGCTTCTCAGTCCTGGTGAGAGCTGTCCCTGGGGACACTGAGTCTCAAGTATCCCTGGTCTGTGCAGGCCTGGTAGCCAGAGAAGCCCAGGCGAAGAGACACAGGTGCTGTAGCTGGGTGTTCACGCAGTGTGCCCACAGGCCCAGGGGGACGGGGAGCTAGGGGGACGTGTGGCCCAAGGAGATTTGGGGGCTAAGGGGCATGGGTCCAGGGGGACGTGGGGCCCAGGGAGACTGGAGCCAGGGGCATGGGACCAGAGGATGTGGGTCTAGGGAGACTGTGGAGGGGGAAGAACATGGGTTCAGGGGAATGTGCAGCTCAGGGAGACTTGGGGGCCAAGGGGCCTGAAGCCAGGGGATGTGGGGCCCAGGGAGCCTCAGTTTCTTGTTCAGGTCCTCCTGGTCTCTTTGAAGAGGTCTTTTTTCTCTGGTGTTTAAATTCCTTCTTTCACATCTTTATATATCTTTTAAAATTGTGTTATCTAAAGTTCCCAGGAGCTCAATTTTCTTCTTCGTGTGGCTCATGTGGGTTATTGCCCTGGGTGTTTTATAATTTTGTTTTGTAAATTCATCTTAGTTGGGGCTTCATCTGTGGGAATCCCTGAGACTGGAGGTGAGAGTTTGTCCCTCTAGACCAGTGGCTCTGTTGACACTGGGGCTGGTTTCCGGCTCTTGGTTCTGGTGGCGTCCTGTGCATCGGAGGGCTTAGCGGCACCCATGGTCCCTGCCTACCGTTGTCGGTCACACTCGGTCACAACAATGAAAAATGTCTCCAGGCCTTGCCACGTGCCCCCTGGGGCAGGCTGTGAGTGACTGCTCTAGACCAGTGTGTGGGTCTAACACAGGCTGCAGGGGGGTGACCTCCTGAGACTGCCCACCGTGAGGGTTATTTCCCGGCTTTGAATTTCACAAACCAGAATTCCAACCTCAAAACCATTGTGCAGGTAGACTTTTTTTTTTTAATTTACATCCAAGTTCGTTAACACAACGGTGTCAGGAATAGGAGTTGGTAATTCAGCACTCACACACAACCCCCAGTGCTCGTCCCAACACGTGCCCTCCGTAACGCCCGTCACCCATCTAGCCCGTCCCCCTGCCACCTCCCTCCGTCAACCCTCAGTCTGTTCTCTGTATTTAAGAGTCTCTTATGGTTTGCCTCCCTCTCTGTTTTTATCTTATTTTCCTTCCCTCCCCCTAGGTTCATCTGTTCTATTTCTTAAATTCCACATATGAGTGAAAACACATGATATTTGTCTTTCTCTGACTGACTTATTTTGCTTAGCGTAATACCCTCCAGTTCCATCCGCATTGTTGCAAATGGCAAGATGTCATTCTTTTTGATTTCCGAGTGATATTCCATTATATATATATTTACCACACCTCCTTTATCCATTCGTCGGTCGATGAACATTTGGGCTCTTTCCCTACTTCGGCTACTGCCGATAGCACTGCATGTGCCCCTTCGACTGAGCCTTTTTTTTATCTCTTGGATAAATAGTAGTGCAATTGCTGGGTTGGAGGGTAGCTTTATTTTTAACTTTTTAAGGACCCTCCGTACAGTTTTCCAGGGCGGCTGCACCGGTTTGTGTTCCCAGCAGGTGGGCTTTTCGGTCCATGCTGTGGTTTTTCACCTAGAGCCAGGCAGAGAACTCTCGCGATCTTCCTCTACTGGGAGCTGGAGTGTTTCCCAGTTTTTCTCTTCCCTGAAGACATAGCCCAACCGAGGCCCGGTTAGTTCACGCCCTCAGCTGTCCTAATGGCCGAACCCACTTACCAGAGGTGGGCGCGTCTGACAAGCCCACACCCTTGACAACAGAGTGCTCAGACCTCCTCATTACACGCTGCACCTTGGGAACAGGGTGTGTGTGCAGGCTGCTTGGAAGTGACTGTGCAGCCTCTTAGGTCAACAGGAAGTTGACTTAAAACACTTTCAGACTCACGTACCATTTGTGATTGTATCGCTTTTTTTTCTTTTTTTGAAGACGAGAGAGAGAGGGAGCGTGTGCACAAATTGGGGGAGGGGCAGAGGGAGAGAGAGAAGCCCAAGGAGGCTCCACACCCAGCTGGAACCCACCTCAGGGCTAGGTCTCTCCACTGTGAGGTCATCACCTGAGCCAAAATCCGGAGCCGGACTCTTAACCGACTGAGCCACCCAGGAGTCCTACGGTTATATGTCTAAGTGTATATTCGGGGGAAGAGCACTGTTTACAGGAGTTCCAGGCTCTGGCCCTCTTACTGATTATCCATTTGCCGAAGAGACTTCGGAGCACACATTTGATTTAGCCACAAAAGGAATCCTCCCTCCTGTTCCGCAAATCTCGTGTGTGACGGGCTGCAGGGAGCCCGGAAAGGGGGAGGGGTCAAGGCCACGTGCAGCCCAAGCAGGCTTTCCAGCACGTGTGTTACAGAAGCCGGGTTATCCTGGCCCTCGTGGTGAAGCCGGACTTGTACTCCAGGCAGAAACTGTCGTCCCACCTGCGACATCAGCAGCCCCAGGAGAGGGCGTGTGGGCTTCGCCCCCTGGGGCTCTTGATCCACACAAAGGCTCACCTCTGCCTTAGCTCACAGACTCGGGGCGCGGCACCTGCTGAGCCTGTCCCGGAACTGCAACCAGCCGGCCTCTGTGGCTCCAGGGACTGGACAGAGTCTCCCAGGAGGGCCACGGGCCACCCCCACGAGGCCTCCCGGGCACAGTGCTGCCGCCGCTGAGTCCCCACAGTTTCAAGTGCGCGTGTTCAGATGTCCTGTTGCCTCATTAAGAAGTTCAGTCTGTGAGCCCTGGAGTTCGTGTGAGTTGGAACCCTCAGAGCCCGAGCCCCTCGGGGTCTCCGATTTGAGGAAGCAGCTCGGGAGATCGTGGCACCCAGTGTCCACCACCCAAACACTGGATTTTAAGTAACCCAGGTCTGTCTCTTCCAGCACAACTTCTTCCACATTTCCCCCAACTTGCTGCCCAGTCAGCTGCCTCTGGGAAGCCCTCCTGGCTGCCCCGGACCTCCTGGTGCCCTCCAGAGCACCCCCCCCCCCACCGTTTCTCACACAGAGCTCACCTTGCAGTTGGGGGTGCCGGGCTGTCCCTACCCCAAACTGTGACTCCAAGGAGCCACGTCCTTGGTGCCGGGAGGCTACCCCCCAGGTGTTCATGGTCTCCGCAATGCAGGCACAGGTACCCGCAAGATTCAGTTCTGGTCACCCTTTGTCACATCCAGCACCCAGCTTGGCTTTCCAGAGTCCACCTACGCCCTGTTCCACAGGTGGTCCTCCTCCCTCGACCTCGTTTGAGGATCGGGTGAGCCCGGCCTGGATCCCCTGGGGGCGGGGCACCTCCGGGGCGGCCGCCCTTGGTGCCGGTCACCAGGAGACGCAGCGGGTCTGCTCCGCGGGCCCCCAGCGGACGGACGTGGGGGCAGCAGGGCCCCTTCCCGGGCGGGGTCCACCCCACCCCGCCCCGCCCCGCCTGATGCCTCCTTTCCTTCGCAGGCGCTGCGTCCTGAGCGCGGCCGGGCGCCCGGGGCCATGGCGCTGCGCCCCGAGCCCGCGGGCGGCCGGCGCGTCGTCACCATCAACGTGGGCGGCTGCAGGGTGCGCCTGGCCTGGGCGGCGCTGGCGCGCTGTCCCCTCGCGCGCCTCG